TGGTGCTGGGGGATTGAACCGCGGTCCCTGATGCTTTTGCTAAGCTTGTTCTAAGTAGGTGCTTTAGACCACTGAGCCATCTCTCCAGCCCCCACTGTACAGTTTTGCCACAACAGAGATTTAACATAACCTCAAAAGTACAGATCTTGGCTTGAACTATGTATTCAACTAAGTGTTTGAAGAACCTATACCAGCTTTTAAATATATGACAACTTAAGAATTTGGGGTTGACCTTTTCTAAAATTTGTAAGGTTTTTTATATAAAAATATTCATTTCATTCCAACATTTTTCATTTCCTATATTATCCTTCCTATAGTCTATTAAAAGTTGAACACCTGTCTCTCTCTTGACTAAAGAATCAAGCTCATTAAAGATATCATAAGCTTTTCTCAAACATTATAGGGATTCAATTTGCTTATATTAATGAAAAATAAAAAAAAAAATGGTTCAGATAAAGAATACTGCACGTCTTAAACACCTATAGCACAAATGAAAGTGGAAGTAAAAATTTTGGTGGTACTAACTCAGAAACAGTATCAGTTCCAATCAAAAACACAAAAAAAATTAAGGCAAATTTTCATAAATTCATATATTTCATAAATTCATACAAAATAAAAATAAAGCATCTGAGAAACTCCAAACAATAAAAAATCATAAACAGAATTATACCATAAGTAACAACCTGCTAAGATATCAAAATAGTCAAAATTAACTGAAAATTCATTTCTCAAATAAAAATCGTTAGTTTTTTTATATAAGAGCACAATAAATTTATGAAACCATTAATTAAAAAATGTGCCAAATATTTTATTAGCATTCAGTATAATGTAATACTTCTTTTTCACACTGATGAAAGGAAAGTAAACTGGGTCTAACATAAAAGCCTCTTTCATTTGACTTACCAGTAACTATTCTTGGTCTTTCTTGGCATCCTTGTAAGAGGAGGATCCAGACAGCCAAGATGATAATGGAGTTTACACGTGTCACACAACAAAAGAAGGTGCTGATCATGGTTCTTCTTACAAATTCCACAACTTCAAGTAAATGCAGCAAAGAAGGTTGAACAATTGAAATAGTGACACACAATTCAAATTCAACATTTTAAATTTTAAAATTTTACTCTCAACTACCACTTCTTTTGTTATAATGAACCTTTCTTATAAAACAGAAATTTTTATAATATCAGTAACAGTTATAAACACCTGTGAAAGTGTTAAAACATGGTTTGGATCTAATAAAAACAAATGTTACTAGAGTTAAACCTTTCAAAGAAGGGTATATGTAAGCTATTCTCAACATCACCTTTATTTTAATTATTAGCAAAACCACATTTCAAGGGAGTTTCATTTTTCTCAAGAAACATAATTTATCTGAACCAAAAAAAGTTTTCACTCTTTTAAATCTCTAAAAACTATAAAAGAAATTATCTCACAATGAAATACAGATTATTTTCTGCTATTAATTATAAACCTTTCAAAAAATCTTCAATACAGAAATAAGTTACATATATAAACAGGGTTTTCTCAAAATCAGATTTTAAGTCTTTAAAATATTTAACTAACATTTGAAAATATTTGGGAGTTTTACAATTGTTGTTACTGTTAAGTTTCTTTATTTTGTTTTTTTTTTTTTTTTTAATCTAACATAATGTCTTTTTGTGGAAAAGACAAGCTAGTCATTGAGAACTTGAGTGCCGTGACCTGAATGCTTAATGTATAGACTTACATGTATAAACATCTGTATTGGCAATGTGCCGAATGAGAGGAGAAGCTGCTGAGAACTAGCAGATACATTCATGTGTAGGAAGAGCAAAAGAACAATATTTGGATTTACTTTTAATATTTATTTAATAATATTCATTTTAATTTTCATTTAACATTCAATTTTAATTTATTTAAATTTAATATTTATTTTGTTATTCCTAGAAAAACAAAACCAGTTCAAATCTCAGAGTAAAACAGACAAGTCATTTAGAATATACTCTGAAAGAAAAATGAACTATATTCATAAAAGTCACAAATATGGTGATACACCTGACAATTTCAAATAAATCAAGTGTGTTTGAGAAAGTGGTACTCATTACATGCTAATGTTTGCATCATACACTAAAACAACAGTGAGCTTTTCCCACATTTCCTGGAAGTTGTTTTCTCTGACCTGTGAAAGACTCTCCAATAAGGAATGGGAAATACTTAAGGAGACTGATATTGTTGTAATGCTGTTATTTCCAAGAAAGTAGTTCTGGGAAGAATATTGTGCATGTATGTGTTTATATTTGTATGTATATAAATGTGTATATATATGCACACATATGTGTATATATTTTATGCATGCATATAACTACATTTTCTAAACTCAACATAATCAATATAATACCACAGAAAAGTGAGATGCTAAATTATTTAGATAAACAAGTTTTGTCTATGTAAAATTACTATAATGGTGAACACTATAAAAATATTTCTGGAGTAACAGCAAAATTACTACACCCAAGCAAAGAAAAATATACATGCAGGCTCAAACCTAAAATCTATGTTCATTATATACAAGCTATAAAGACAAAAGCTTCAGACTTTCTATATACTATCCTTCACTAAAAATACAAAACTTATAATGCAAGTAAAACATAAATTTCTACTTATTATATCATTTTAATTATTTAAGACAATAAGCACATTTTTTAGCATAATGTTCCAATTCCCCAAACAGAATTCTTTATTTTCATGGAACTTATACAGGTATATAATAACTTATACAGCTATTAAAAAGACACAGAATCATTTATCTTATAACAGAAATCTGTTATTTGATCTACAAAGTATCTTTGATAAAATGAGTGTCACATCCACTTAAATTCTGGCATAGACATAATTCACTCTCAAAAATGATAAGTACCTTCTTCCTAGTAAGTATTAGCTAAAAATAAACTCATTACTTGCCTATAAAGCACTGTAGGAAGAGCAGATGTCTTTTGTGTGCCTCCTTCTTTTTTGCTTGGTTTTCTCTCCTTGGGTGCTCGCAAAATTGCAGGTATATTCAACTTCTATTAATTTGAACAAATGCAGCATATATTGTTTTAAGGATGAAATATAAAGCAACATTTTCCTCTACTTGCCACTTGAGTGAGCTGAATATACTAGGGTTACCAGGGAGAAATCTGCTTTACAAGCTATTACAATGCCAAGAAGAAATAAGAGGAGTTTTTGTCTAACAGTTTTTTCCATTAGAAACCTGTGATTACATGCTTTTATCAATTTTCAGTGATATATTAAAACATTATGAAAATTAAATTACTTTAGTTTGAAAAATGAAATACGAGGACAAGCATAACAGAGGTTTAAAAAAAAAATTAACACAGTACACGTGACAAAATGAATACTGAGGTCGTTTATTTTCCTCAACATCCCAGGTATACTGGTGCTCCATAGGTTAATTAAAAAAATTATCTTATTGGACCAAACTCTCCAACAAAGCAGATGAGACTCTTTTGGGTTTCTGCTAATCTGTGGTATGTTGGCTTCTCAGACAGCAACCATCTATCAAAGTCATTTCTTAGTAACCCAGTGGGCCACATCTGTTCAGCCAGCTGGAAAAAAGTATTATGCAAACAGCACAAGGGAATTCTACTTCTGCCATGCATTTTACATTTGCACAAGGAAATCTGTAAACCTCTGCAGAAAGTCATGTAACAAATAAAAGTGTTTTGAATAGTTGATAATATTTTACACTAAATAGGAGGATCCTAAAAGACAGACTTGCAAATCAAGCAAGTAAGCTAAGGCCTCGTACTCAAATTTACATTTTCTAAATATCAAATATTAAATGAGATAACCTTCCAGACATCCCTCATCAACCTCGCAATAGCAACAAAGGTTCATTCCTCCAAAGGCCACTACTCTTCATTCTCACTTTTCAAGATAAATTATTACAAGCCACATACACTACAGTTCACACAAAAAAACTTCAATGCCAGCAAAATACAGTATAAGTCAATACATATTAATTTATAAAATAACATTTATACAAATTATGGTATGAATGTGACTTCTGTAACCATGTGAAACAAGTACAATGAAAATATCTGTTCCCTGAACAGTTTCTTTTCCAAATAAAATTATTTTTGAAGTAAAAGAACCATAAATAGGTATCCCCATCATCCCTAAATAATCCCTAAATAAAATTATTTTTAAAAACATGTAATATATCAATTATAGTAAACACAGCACTAAAAACGGCATTTAAAAAATTCCATTTGGAAATATTCTTTTCAATACTAAAGAACTTTCACAGACTAAAAATGTTCAAAGATAAAAGATTTTAAAAATATAACATTTAAATTTCAAAACTTATTTCTTAACAGCTAAAAACCAAACAAGACAATGAATCTCTCTAGTTTAAATTTTTAAATTTTAAGTTTTACATCCAAATAAAATAATCACCCGAAACATAGCTCACAAGAAAGAAAAAACACAGTGAAGAATCAAAACCTGCTAAATTTAAAAAAAAAAAAAAAAAAGTAAGAGAAATTCGTGTTCCAAATCTTAGCTGATCACAAATGACAGGTCAATCAGGTGTAGCAAACGAGAGTCATCAAAACAATCAAATTAAGACTCAGGTTCTCAGCAGGTATTTTTCACATGCTAGCTGCATTTTACCCAGAAGTCATTATCTGACCTAGGAGAATCAGCTCTGATAAAACAGAATCCTTCTGCGGTTCCCAGAGTTGAGTCTTGGAAAGGTTAACAGAGAGCAAGGAGAAAAGAGAGTAACTGGAAAAGCACTAACCTGCCCTGTAATTCTGCCCAGTAAGGCCCATATTCCTTGCCCTTCACTTCGAAGTTTCCCATTCAAGTTTTGTAGTTCTTCTAAAGATTCACACAGCTACAAGGTAAGCAAGTCAAAGTATCAATAAATGGCCGAGGGTACCTACAACTACATTCCATTCATATATAAGATACTCAAATCATAACTCTGTACTAAGACAGTGCTATCCAATTATTTAGCAGCATCAACAAAAACACATTTTATTTTGTGATGGTATACAAGCTTACACATGTGGTTATAGCATATTCATATATGCTATATATAAATTATAGCATATATATATATATAATTATAGTTGCTATATAATTTTGAACATACTCTGCTAATTAAGCAGTGTCTCTATCAAGCTGCATTTCCATCATCCACCGCATGAGAAAACTAAGAATCAAGAGTTTTCAAGAACTGGCTAAAAAATAAGTAAGGGGCCGGGGATATGGCTCAATAGAATAAGCGCCTGCCTGGCAAGTCCAATGGCCTGAGTCCAACCCTCAGTTCTGCCAGAAAGAAAGACGGAAAGACAGAAAGACAGAAAGACAGACAGACAGAAAGACAGAAAGACAGAAAGACAGAAAGAAAGAAAAGGAAAGAATGGATGGATGGATGGATTGGCTAATGTCACTGAATTACAAGAATCGCCAGGTCTTATGAATCTAATTCCACTGTGCACTACAATGTGGCTGATTACTGAAACACTCTGCTAATACATGACTCAAAATGTTAACAATCATTTAGCTGGGAGACTGCATCTCAGCCCAGAAAGAATGGTTAAGTGTCAAGAAGTCAACCAATACTAAATGCTGGTAGGGCTGTGGGGACAAGGAAGCTTTTCCACTGTTAGGGGGAGAGTACCCTGGTGCGACCACTATAGAAAGCAGTATGAAGGTCCCTCAAAAAGCTAGGACTGGAGGTTCCACTTGATTCAGGCGTTCCCCTTCTTGTTATTTTTCTGAAAGAACTAAAAGCAGCACAGCACAGTGACAGATGCACAGCCCTGTTTACAGTGGCACAGTTTGTAATAGCTAAACCTTGGAAGCAGCCCAAATGCCCACCTACTAATGAATGGACGAAGATGTGAGTTTTATTTTAATACAATAAAGTACTAGTCTGCCATAGAGCATAAGTTTGAGACATTTTTAGCTTAACGGATGCACCTTGAAGCTATTCTCTTTTTTTTGCTTTTTCCTTTCGGACCCAGAAAAGAACTCAGGGCCTCACAATTCTCAGGCAGGTGTGGCACCACTGAGCTACATCCTTGGCCTGAGGCCATTCTCTTAAGTGAAAAGAATCAGACATATTTTTAAACACTGCATTTTGCTGTAACAAAAAAGGACCAAAAAAGCACAAAAAGGACCAAACTGTATACAGATATTATGAAATAGGAAGAAAATTTTCAAAGGGGAAGGGGAACTGCGGAGGAGCGGGGGCAGGGGGTGAGAAGGAAGGGAAAAGAAAAAACTTAAGGAGGAAAAAACATGAAACAAAAGTAAATAAAGGCCGGCCAGATAGCTCAGTGCCTGCTCAGGCAGAGCACAGCAGCTGGGGCTGGATCCCCAGCATGCTGTGCCGACCGTGGGGCACACCGAGACAAAGATGGATGCGGGGCATGGTGGCACACACATGCAATCCCAGCAGTTTGGAGGCTGAAACAGGAGAATCACTATGAATCCTATCTACATATGAGACCCTGTACACCCTGTAGTACATACATGAAGAAAACATTTTGTACATAAGGAGAGGAAGAGGGGTTTAGCAAAGGTAGGAGAATAGGGAAATAAATCATTACAGTGTAAATGTTTCGTACATATATAAATTCCCTATAATAAATTTGATCATTAGTTGTATCTGAAATGTATCAATAAACTTAACTAATAGAAAAAGTAAAAAACAAACAAACAAACAAAAAAACATAGAACAGTAAGTCAGCGAAGCAAGCCCATGATCCCAGCACTCGGGAAGCTGAGGCACCAATAGCACGGCACGTTCAAGGCCGGCCGGAGCTACAGAGTAAGACTGTCTCCAGAAAACAACAAAGAAAAAACCCTTGCAACTCTACACCCATTTTTGATGCATGTTACTTAGTAACTGGTATTTTAGTCATGGATATGACTTTCATATGATTTTATATGGCTTTTATATGATATTTTATATGATTTTTTTAAAAATCTCCCTCTCATTAGAATGAAGAGGTAACAATGAAAATTTAAATTGGGGAAAAATTGTTTAATTAAAGGTAACATCATAATTCAGGATAAAAGCAGTAATTGAAAATTAAGTTTCTTTTGTGTGCGTGTGTGTGTACCAGGGATTGAACGCAGGACCTTGTGCTTTCCCGGCAAGCGCTTATTCCACTGAGCTATCTCCCCAGCCCTTGAAAATTCAGTTTCTAACTCTCCTACAAGCTTAGAAGAAGTGCTGTTATACTATGTGTAGAGTTTAGAATAAGATGTCGGCCTCCAGCTCCAGCCGTACGACTTCACCGTCTGTGAGCATACTCACACGTATGACCTACTCTGCACGACTCAGTTTGCTCCTCTGAAAATGGGAACAATAATCATAAGCTACACAACAGAATGAAGACGAGGGTCAGGTACTGCATGTGAGGCCATCAGAGTGACACCATCCACACAGAGAACGCGCAGTAAGTGACAGCGAGGAGGCGAGGAGACGGAAGGGGAGGAGAAGAGGAGCGCTCGCACTCCAAAGCCCACAGAGCTGCTACAAAGTCACAGCAGAAGTCAAGTCCTGCTGTGCTCTGTTTCACAGCCAGCTTACCTTATTATATTCCACATGAAGCTTTTCTTGCTCATTCTCTAATTTATCCTTTATATTCTTTTGCTCTGCCATATTTTCCTGAATTTGAACCATGCGCATATTTCTCTCTATTTAAATTAAATATCCAATTTTACTTTAGTACCAAGTAAAAGCTGATATAAGAAATATACAAAAAAAGAAACTATTCATAAAGACGTTCATAAGGATAAATCTACATTGCTGAAACACTTTTAAATATACAGGAAAAATATGAACCTACAATTTTATAAAAACCTACAACTCAGGAAAATAACATGTCTTATTTGACATACGTGACAGGACTAATGAACTTCTAAAAATTAACAGTATTAGCAAATACTCATTAGCAAACTATTCTCATTTTAAATGTGCATGTAGGAGTATCTATACTGACCAAAATAGTAATTCACAAAATCAGCAGTGAGAGCTGGCTGCTTGTGCTTCCTCCTTCCATCCACACTAGAGCTAGTATCTGAATTGTCCACTGGGAAGATATCTGTACTGATCCCCATTAGTTCTGCTTTCCGCATCAGTTTACGAATAGCTGAAGCACTACTAGTGAGTGGTCTGGGCAATTTTTCCCTTGGAACCCAGGCTTGGGGTCTGGTGGATCGAGCTAGTTCTGCCTTGGCACGATATTGCTGAAGCCGGGCATTGATCCTTGCCTATAAAAGAAATGTACACAAATTTTAAAATATAGTAAAGTGGAACACAGCCCTGATGATTTTTTATTTCTGTGCTCCAAAAAAGTAAAGACAGCTATAATCTCCTCACAGAGCGAAACTGTATTTATCAGCGGTCTTCATGGTATACCATGTAACTCTTGAGTTTCAACAAACTAGAGCTACACCTAGTAAGAACTGTCCCACTTGATGATCAGCATTGTGAGAAACTAATTTGACTAATTTGAACTTTTCTTTGCCTAATAACTATCCCTGCAGATTTAATGTACACAGAAAACCATTTGAAATGAACAAACGCATCAAACTCTCTGCATAAATGAACATTACACTGAAAATATCTAGTCAATACACTACATTCATAGGACAGTTTCCTCTAAACCACATCCCTCAATGTGGAAATGTGCTTTATTAACAACCGCTCTACTGACTCCCTGAGGAGGAACACAACCAAGCAAGCCCTACCACCGCTTACCTCCATCTTAAATCACTTCTCAGAAAACTGAGCAAATTTCATAGTTATACTGCACATATTAACGGCAAACACATAGGATTGATAATCTATAATATTAAAGGGAAAAAAGCACTGGTATGATCCCTTACCTGGGCTTCTGGTGAGAGCTGCTTCTCTCTCTCTTGCAAAGACATTTTACAGTAGGACTGTAGAGCCAAGTAGTTTTTTCTCTTCCACTTTCTGTCCAAACGATCTGCATGTTGCTTACAATAAGCAAAAAATGGATCTGCTATATCCTATACAAAAAAAGGATAGAAGATGAACATTTTGACAGAAATATTTCTTTTAAAAACCTAACACCAAAAGAAAAATAATTTTTGAAGAATTAACTAGCCTTAATTTCACAATAAACTGTACAAGTACATTTTGCACATTATAATAAAGATTTCTGCTTTAGAAACAATCCAATATATCAAATTCACATTAGCAATTTTTTTTTTCTTAAAGAAGCTGAGGGTATATGGCAGTAGCAAATAATTTGCTTAGCATGTTTATACCCCTAGGTTGATCCCCAGCACTGCAAAAGACAAAAGAAAATAAAGGACCTTCTGGATTTAAAAATACTGAAAGCAAATCTTATATACTGCTTGAAGTATTTCCATACTTCTGTAAAAAAAAAGTTTAAAAAGATATAACAGAAACAAATATTAAAAGTTCTGAATATATTAATAATGCAAAGCAACAATATTATACATTCAAAAACACAGGACTTTCAAAGATAGACAAATCTAACTGGTTAGCAACGTGTAGACAGATTCTCTCCAAGGGGAAAAAGATTTAAGGCCAGACCTTGACACTAAAAGGTATCTCCCTTATCTCCTTGCATAACTTCATAAAGAAATACAAATGAGAGGAGAGAAAAAAAATCAATACATTAAAAACCA